AGGATAGTGTTGATGTGTTGTGAGGTTGTTAACCATTGTCACAGGGCAACATGTGTACTAACTGTTAAACGAGAAACTATTTTGTTCTATAAGCCTTCATCTAAGGTGGGAATAGCAGCACAACTGGAAGAGCGTAGTCAATGTCATTGAACTGTGCATGTAGAAATTTTTGAAACTGTGTATCTTTGGCTATGTATATTTTCACCAAAACAAACAAAAAAAAAGGTTGAGTAGGGAGAGGGTTGACATGTTGTGGGGTTGTTAACCAATGTCATAAAACAATATGTGTACTACTGTTTCATGAGAAACTATTTGTTCTGTAGGCCTTCACCTGAAGTACAATTAAAAAAAAAAAAAATTCCCCAAGTGATTGCAAATGTATAGCCAGGGTTGAGATCCACTAATTTACTTAGTCCTGGGCTCTAGATAAACAAATCAGAAAATGAATAAATTAATAAAGGACCAGTATACTAACTTCAGAGGGAAAAATCTTTAATGTAAGAATGAGACAATTGTTTCCATAAATCCCCCTCTGTCTTCAATAAATAATTTCAGGCTACATTTCTACTTTTTATAACTGCCATTTTGAGCATGACTATACCTCAGGATCTGAGTGTTCTAATAAAAGTATTTCAAATGTATTAACCTTGTTTTTAATTACTTTCAAGATTTCCATTTCACTGAAGAATGTATCTTTAAAAGGGAGAGCAACCCAAAACTTTTGTACTTAACCCCTAACACAATCTATAGTAGATAAAATGTAAGCCTGTACTTCTTTCTAGCCAGTGAATGGCAGGGATGATTATATATGAATTATTCACTTACTAGAAAGAGACAAACTGCCCAAAACATTGGAGATGACGTTTCCTTACATTTCCAGTGTATTAAATAGTAAACATTAACACAAATGAGCCAATATCACAATTATCTGATTAGGTTATTTCAATCTACACTGCACAGTTCTTTTTAATTACAACTCACCTGTGCAGCAAGATCAGGGTTCTGACTTAGTGACTGCATCATGCTTCTCATGTAGGGGGCAGACAACATATTCTGCATGAGTTGTGGGTTTTCGGTTATTTGTTGCAACAAACTCTGCATTCCTGGAGTGTTGAACATACTAGCTGAAAGTTTGTTTAAAAAACAAAGACATATTAAGGAAAAGGTATATAAACAAAAGTTAATGCTTTAAAATACAATATATACTATGCATAATTTTAGCAACTGCAGATGAGTATACATATTACATATCATTGAACTGAGAGAATTTTAAAATTAAGATCTCCAAAAGTACATGCCCATAAATACATATACCAGTAAAGAAGGATTTATAATTTTAAATGTTCTGATTGCGTTTACAATAAAATCATATCTTATGGAAGAGATGGGTTCTGAAGTCAATTTAAGGCAAAAATTAGATATGGTCAAAATTACTATTAAAAAATCTCATGAAGTGAAGAAATCTAAGATAACTTTTGCTTCAACACTGCAAAAGATTGCTTAATTAGAATCGTATTCAGCGGTCATTATGTTCACCCTTAAGAAAGAATGAAGCCTTCATGCCCAGGGAATGACAGATGCATGCAAGCGTCCATCCCATTTTCACTGAGTGCTGGCACTCTGAAAGAAACGGCAGGGACATGTAACATTTGTGAGACTGTACAGCAATGTAACTAAAAGCAACATCCGGAACCCGATTTTCTCGGTTCAAGTCTAATTTAACTACGTAATCTTGGGCAAGTTAATTAACTTCATACTTCAGTTTCCTCATCTGTAACATGGAGGAAATAATACCTACTTCAAAGACTGGTTGTGACAAATTGGTTAATATGCAAAGTGCTTGCTATTTTCATTCTCATTTTGTCTTTTTCTGCTCAGAGCTATGTGGAATTCATTATGTGATGACTCTGCTATACACTTGGACAAACTTTGACAACTACTTACTTTGTTCAACTTATACCCAAAATTTTCATCCGCTGGCTAGATATACTCAAATATATTCTCAAACTCGTTATGTAAGTTCAACTCATTAGCTTTTTCATTCCCCATTAGCTATTCCGGAAGTGTAGTATTAACAGGCTTGAAATGTTTGATCCTTCTTATCTTTCTAGTTTATTATAATTCTGTTGTTTATAAGTTTATTATAAATTTCATATTGCTTTTATAATACTTCTTGGTTTTCTTATTTTCTCAGGTTTTAAGTTTCTATTTCATTTTTCCCACATCCTAGAGTCCAAGAACACTATAAAGACAGGAATTGGCGAACTATATCCTGCAGGGTAAATCTGGCACACTGTTTTTGTACAATCCACGAATTAAGAATGGTTTTTACACTTTTAAATGGTTGAGGAAAAAAAAAATCAAAAGAAAATTACTTTGTGATGTATGAAATTCCATACAGTTCCATATGTCCATAAATAACATTTTACTGGAACACAGCCATGCTCATTTACATACTGTCTATGGATGCTTTTCTGCTATAAAAGCAGAACTGAGTACAGTCACGAGTTGCTTAACGTCCACACGTTCTGTGAAACAGGACATTAGCAAACAATGGCGCTCGTGCAGCTGCTGGCTCCTCCTCTGAGTGCTGAAGCCCCAATTCCTGTGCCCCACGCTGTGCTGCAGCCTCCCCTTCCCTCCAGGAACTTCCCGTCACTCCCTACCCTCATCTGCACTTTGCTCGGGTGGGAGGGCACCGTGCTGGGTCAGGGGTGGCAATTCCAGTCAGCGGGGGCTGGGGGTTAGTCGGACCTCGGCCCCACTGCCCTTGTGTCCTTATCAGGCAAATTAACACCAGGGACCCCGCTGCAGTGAGCAGGCCTCGGGCCTCAAGTCAAGCATGTGTTTTGGTTCTGACTTTGGAGCCTTAACAGACGTTGGTGAGCTTGGAGCCCAACCCCTTCCTTGTGGAGACAAAAGAGACCCAGGGAGGTAATTTTGTCAGGCAACACACTCATGACAGTACAAAGATTAGAATCCCAGACCTCTTTAGTATTTGTTGCTCTGTAGGGAATAAAGTAAAGAGTATAACCTTATGGAACTACGGATGTATATGCAGTTGGACGTTGCCCGAATGACTTATGTGGCACATGACTATAGTTGCAACAGAGACTGCATGTGGCTCTGACTGCTTTACACTGCTGATAGGTGAACCACAAATCTCAGAAAATCTCAGACTTAACTTATAACTCCACGGTGTTTCAAGTGTTATGAGTATTGTTGTACCATGTTATTTTCTTTTTACTAGTTCATAGATCAATGAAGTCAGAATAAGAAAATAAAAGAAGTAGACTATAAATCTCACACTTTCAAGCCACAGTGGAATAGATTATTTTATCAAATGAGCTGGTAAAACAAATGTGATTATGCAATGACACTGTAAAACAAAAAAACAACAAAAAAACCCAAACCCATTGCTATAGAGCCAACTCCAACTCATAGTGACCCTATACTATACACCAGGGGAGAATTGCTCCATAGGGTTGCCAAGGCTGTAAATCTTTACAGAAGCAGACCGCCACAACTTTCTCCCGAAGAGCAGCTGGTGGGTTTGAACTGCCGACCTTCTCGTTGGCAGCCAAGGGGTTAACCTCTGTGCACCAGGGCTCCTCCAATGACACTACAGCTGTGCTAAAAGCATATATGTCAACAGTGCCTGAGTAAGCACTCATCACAATATTCCCAACTTACAAGAAAGCAACAGTCAGAAAAATCAGAAAATTTAAAGTGAAATATCTCATCACAGCCAAATTTCTTAATAAAAACAAAAAAATGATAACAAGGTTGCAACCAAAGATAAGTTTCTAAGTGGCTTATTGGTTAGCTAGGCAAGGAAAACCATGCACCATGATTAGTATGATTAATTAAATCATGTTTGATTGCAGCAGTCGAATAAAACATGTCTAGATAAAATAAACTTGTTATCAGCTTTTCAGGGAGCACAGTTGCTCAAAGAGTTAAAGACACTGGACGCAATGTCAATACTCAATTAAAAAACACTGCAAATTATTTTGAGTGGTTTTCCTTGGTTCTCAGTGAGCAAACAGATGTTACTGAAACTGCTCGCTTACAATGTCAAGATTGAAATAACTGAAAAATTAGCCTCTATAAATAGCGTGGAACAACTACAGGAGAGACTGTTTTCACAGAAGTTGAGAAAAAACTAATTCAGTACAACCTGAAGTAGAATCTGCTAGGATGTGATGGTGGTAAAAATATGTGTGGAGCAGAAAAAGAGATCAGTTAACATAATTTACAAAGGTTGTAAAACTATAAGCTATTTAATGACTATGGTTATTCATCGTTTTATGCAACAGCTGGTACTCTGTGGAAAATATCTGAATCTATCGTGTTATTGACAAGTAGTAGTATCAGTAGTGATCATTCATTCTTGTGAACTTAGCCATAGGCAGTTCCATGAATTTTTGTTATAAACAGCTCTGTCAAAAGCTCAATATCCTGACTTGCCTTACCTTAGTAGATAAAATTTTATTGCTATTTTTTAAGCTAAGGGCCAAGATTGAAATTTTCTGAATAAGAAGAATTATCTAATCATTTTCAAACAATGAATGACTTTGGAAAATAGTTTTTGCCAGAGTCTTGACAACATTTCTTAATGAATTCAACCAAAAATTACAAGGCAAAACAGCATTTACATGTGAAACATATCGTGGCTAAATTGATACGTTTCAACAACAGCTAATATTATTTGAATCACAAGCAATGTCAAATTGCTTTATATACTTCCCATGCTGTTAAAAGTTAAAACAAGATCTCCATTCCCACACAAATCTGCAGTGGATATATTTTTCTAGCTCAAACTACAGTTCCTCCAGCATTTCTTCAGATCTCGATGCAAGTGTAAAGGGAATTTCTGTGTTTCAAAATTTATTTAATGGTGCAACTGAGGGGCTACCACCTAACCTTTAATTGGAAATCATTAATCTGCAATGTAATAACATGCTCAAAGTAAAACGCAAAACAAGAATTTCATAGAATTCTACAAATGCCTTCCAAGCACTGAATATGCTCAAGTAAAACTATAAACTTACAGAATGAGTACACAGCTGTGTAAAAAGACATATTCAAAGATGAAATAAGTAAAATCTCATTACACATCAGCATTAACAGAACATTTGCAATCAATTTTGATTACATGTAACACTGTGAACCCTAATTAAGCAAAACGTTTTCCAAAAAAATACTTCCATTTCTGTCATTAGTAGGTACATAAGCCAGAATATTGTACTCAATTATTTTTAATTACTTCAACAAAAATGTTGTGGAAATTTATTTTCTCTTGTAATATTTTTGATTTTGTCTCCTGGCCCACAAAGCCTAAATACTTATTATCTAGTCCTTTATAGGAAGAGTTTGCTGACCCCTGCTCAAAGATTTTTCTCATCTTTTAGAGCAATTGCTTACAGGGCAAGAGAGTCACAAATTTCAAATTTATATGTATGTGTGTGCATGTGTGTATGTGTGTGTGTGTATGTATGTACCAAACCTCAAAGAGTAACAATCATAATAAAAACTAGAAACCAGCTGCTCTTGAGTTGATTCTGACTCATGGTGACTCTATGTGTGTAAGAGTAGAACTGTGCTCCATAAGGTTTTCAATGACTGATTTTTTAGAAGTAGATCACCAAGACTTTCTTCCAAGGTGCCACTGGGTAGACTCCTTGCAGTTAGCAACTGAGTGCATTAACCATTTGCACCACCCAGGGACTCCAAACAATCATAATAGTGTTCAAATATGCTGACAATGTGATAGGCCAGCACGGTAAGCTGAATTTTGCTGTTTTCCTTTGATGGAAACATTAACGTGCAATGTTATTGTATCGGCAGTAAATTAAAAAGTATGAGTAAAAAGTTACATAACTGATTTTTTTGTTTGTTAGTTCCAAGCTGTTAGACAATCATGCTACAGTAGGAAAAAAAAAAAAAGCAATACCCTACTAGTTAGGAAGTCTTTGCTCTGTCTGCTCTATGACCTTTAAAATGGGAATAAAGCATCTCTCTCAAAAGACTATCCAGAGAGGGTTAGGAGCTGCTTGAATGGACATGGGGAATCGGGTGGAAAGGAGGAGTGTGCTGTCACAGTATGGGGAGAGCAATTAGAGTCACATAACAATGTATGTTTAAATTTTTGTACGGAAAAAAACTAAAAAAATTTCTTTTTTAAATCTCTTATTAAAAAAAAGAAAAAAAAAGCTAAAAAGCTGACAATACAAAAAAAAAAACAAGAATAATCAAATAAGTAGTAAGTAGAACACAGAACAGAATTGTTTTTCTTTATTAGAAATGGTATTACAACAGACAGTCCCCAGGTTACAAACGTTCAACCTGTAGTACGAACTAACGCCCAGAAAGCCTATTATATTAAAAATTCGAGGTACAAACAATGGTGCCTAATAACAAACGGGTACTACTTTGTGATGCGTGTGTTATTATTATTATTGCTGTATTACGTTAAAGATGTTTCAGTGTACCTGAAGTGTTTCTTTAATGTTTTTTATGAATAAAAAGGTACAACATATACTAAGACAAACATTAACTGATTTTAGATACGAACCATACCTAACTGTTCTGACTAAAGTACAAATTCGACTTAAAGGCAGACTTAGGAACGGAACTTGTTCATAATCCAGTGACTGCCTGTACTTAGGTTTTTATAAACCTGTACCATAACCAGAAACCTCACAACACCCACTGTACTCTACAAAATATATTGCTTTGTCCATCAGTCTCCCCATTCTGAATTCTTCTCTCAGCAAATAATTTTAAAAATTCTTCATCTATCACCTCATCTTTCCACTTCCTCTACCAAGGCACAGGCATCTTTTAAAATATGGCCAGGCCCTCTTATCTTAGAGAAGTGCCCTCATGCTTTCATTTCTTCCTATTTATATGCTAAACATCAGGACTAAAATAGTCACTCTAGCTACTCATCTTCGACCTAATTCATAGATAAAACATCAGCATGTAAATATCTGAATAGCTGGAAAAAGGACACCCATTTATTGAGTCTAATCTACAGAAGAAAAAAAAGATCCATGAGGTCTGAGGTGATGACTTGGGAATGTGGTTTTTAACAAAATTGGGAGGTAATCTGATACAGCTAGTTTGGCCCTGGCGTCATGACTGGTGTCTGAGAATCCACTGATCCAAAATTCAAAACCAAACCAAAGCCAGAAAAGGTATACTCTAGTAATAACTACATGGGTGATGATGTGTTCCCTCTGCATGTCAGTTTCCCTGCTGTTGAGATGAGACCACCACCCTCTTCTCCTCACGTCATAAAAACACAGAACTGTCTCTGGAAATCTTCAGTGATCCTTTCTACTATAATGCATGTAAGTGATTAACACTACTCATTACATATTTAAAGCTTCCTTTAAAAAAAAACTGCGACATGAAAGGTACTTAACTCCCCATACACACAAACCCTGAAAAAACAGTGTAAGAAATGTCTTCATTATTTATACAAGCGAGGACAACAAAGAAACAAACTGAGTTATGAGCATACCTCCTACTCCAGGCCCCAAACTGGGTGCAGTAGTACTCTGCCCAGCAGTGCCACTGGCAGCACTACCACCAGTGCCACCCACAGTGCTGGTGGTGCCACTGGAAGCTGACGAAGTCTGGGAAGCCTGTGGAGCCCATGGATTGGGTAACGGATCTCTATTTTCTGTACGGGAAGGTTGACTACCTTCACCTGAGGATGTATTGCTCACTAAGGAAGCAAATGGATTACCACCAAACTGTAAAGAAAAACACAAAAATCATAAAGAATAAGCTTTTGTTTTAAATAACAGACAAGAGACTTTTTTTCCCCACGAAAAGTATTCCCATATAAAAGTCCCTCTCTGTTATGAATTTTGTCTTCCAAAAATATGTGCTGGAGTCCTGACCCCTATACCTGTGAATGTAATCCAATTTGGAAATAAGGTTTTCTTTTTTATGTAAGTAAGGCCATATAGGTGTAGGGTGTTGTCTTGAACCTAATCATTTCTAAGTGACACAGAGAGCAGCACAGACACAGAGGCACGCAAGCACAAAGCAGGGGTGGGGGAACAGATACCACATGAATATCGTCAATAAACTGAGAAACGCCAGGGCTACAGAAGCTGAGACAAGGATCTTCCCCCAGAGCCAACAAAGACAGAGCCTTCCCCTAGAACCAGTACCCTGAGTCTGGACTTCTAGTCTCCTTAACTATGAAAAAATAAATTTCTGTTCTTTGAAACCACCCAATTGTGGTATTTCTGTTACAGCAGCACTAGGAAACTAAGGCACCCTCAATCACACACACATTTGTGTTATAAAAGGAGCCAGTCCTTGGCCTGAGCCTGGCAGCAGTGTCTCACCTGCTCTTGCGCAGCACTCAGCATCGGCTCTTGGATATCAGTGTACATGCGCCGTAAGGCATTGTATCCCCCTGGGATGCTTTCCAGGTTGCTCAAGGCTCGGTCCTGGTTTCTCATCATTTCCTGCATCATTGCTGGATTCCTGGCAAGTTCCAGTGTCTAAGATGATTTCAAAAAAAAAAAAACACTGAAATATGCATGAATTACCTTTAACTACTGTCACAGCTAATTTTACTCAGTTACTAATCCCATGAATTAGCAAAGTCTTCAGTATTTAAATCAGAAACTTATTTTAAATAATTCCTGTAGGATTTCAGTTCAAAAAGCAAGCTAATAGTCAAATAATATCGAGTAACAAGGAAGGAAGCACTCTGTTATGAGTAGATGCTCATCTCCTGAATTAAGTTCATTTTTTGTTTCTTCAATCTACAAATTAAACTGTTTGCAAACATCTTAAAATACAGCAGAAAATTCAGCAAACTACACTCCTAATTAGAGTTTTGCTGACTTTCCTAAACAAAAATTAGAATTTCTCTTTAGCCTAGCCGTAAGTAAAGCTCTTTAACCATAATAAATTAAGTAAGAAATCACTATATAGTTTCCTAGCAAAATGAATTAAAAGAACTTTCCACATACTTGTCTCATTATATCTGGATTATTTAACATGTGACTAATTTCTGGATTTCTCTGTATCAACTGCTGCATTTGTGGATTGGCCATAATTAACTGCCTCATCAGGTCAGGATTTGACAGCATGCTCTGGACAAAGGGATTTTCCATGATCTGGACCATCATTTCAGGGTTGGACATAAGTTGCCGCTGCATCTGGCTCTGTAGTTCAGAGAAGTTGGATGTATTCAAACCCAAGCTACTCAGACCTGCAAGCCCTCCAAGGCCACCTAAAAAGATACAGGGGGAAAAGACACAAAAACGAAAGTCAGAAATTATATTATTAATATAACTGGACTAAAATATAAAAATAGAAAAATATTCATTGAATCTATATTCCATTATAGGAAACCATTTTAAAACAAAAACAGAATTCCTATTACTTTCATAAATACATGTTTAATTCCTATAACTAAAATTAGCCAAAAACTTACTCACTTTGATACCTAAGTGTACATAATAAAAACAACTAAATATATTTTCAGATGCCACCTAAAGAAAAAAAGGAATAAAAACTATGAACTTGGACTACACTTCTAACAGTAGAATTCACCTGTAAGTTCTGGTTAGGACAGAGCTGCTACCAATGAAGGGGAGAGAAAATATATATTTTTTTGGAGGAATTAAATCCTGGAGAAACCTAATAGATCCAAAAGGAAGATTAAGTCCTTACCAAAAAATGTTAACTCTGTAAAACTACATAACAAACTAAATGCATTCATTCCTCACTTACTGGACACTTTCTATACATATGTCAGGGGCTTGGTTACATGTTGTGAATAAGGCGACAAGAAAAATAGTTATTACCATTAGAACTCAATCTAGTGGGAAAGACAGACAAGGGGAAGAAATGCCTACATCGATGTGAATAAGTATTCTGATAAAGATATTCACAAAGTATTATGACAGTATAGTGAATAAGTGGGAGGGCTGCTTTCCCAAGAAGAAATGACAGTTAAAGAGTTTGGAGAATGAGTAAGTTGATGAAAAGTAGCGGGCTGAGAGGGGGATTTAAAACCAGGCACAATGATCATCATTAGGAAAAAAAAAAAAAAGGCAGAGAGAAATGTACTGAGGCACTGTTTTGCCAATTCAGCTTTTCATAGGTGTAATTTATCGACAGCAACTACCATATTTTTATGCAAATAACACAAGCATCATACATTTTTTCTGCCGACCTTACAACCCCCTCGTGCCTTATTTTCTTAGGCATGCTACACCATTATTTGTGGCGGCACAACGTTTATGAAAAAATTCAGTACATTAATCAGCTCTGCAACTCTGCCCTTAATTAATGCAATTCTGCCATCACTGTAAAGCGAAACTCAGTACTCCATAAGCAATAACTTTCCCTTACCCCTCCCTCCCACCCCTGGTAACCACTAATAAACTCTGAATGTCTTCACGCTCCATCCATACTATAGCATGTACGAAGACTTCATTTCTCCTGCTGGCTGAGTAGTATTCCATTGTATGTATGTACCACATTTTGTTTACCCATTCATACTCTGATGTGCATTTAGGTTGTTTCCACTTTTTGGCTATTGTAAACAGTGCTTGCAATGAACGCTGGTGTACAAGTCTCATTTTCAGTCTCTGCTTTCATGTCTTTTGGGTATGTACCTAGGAGTGGAATTGCTGGGTCATATGGTAATTCTATTTTTAGTTTTCTGAGGAACTGCCACACTGTTTTCCACAACAGCTCTACCAATTTGCACTCCCACCAGCAATGGGTAAGTGTTCCAATTTCCCCACATCCTCACCATTTTCTTTTTTTTTTTTTTAATCTTAGCCATCCTAGTGGGAGTGAAATGGTATTTCATTGTGGTTTTGATTTACAGTTCTCTTATGGCTGATGACACTGAGCATCTTTTCATGTGTTTGGTGGCTATCTGAATGTCCTCTTTGGGGAAATTTCTATTCAAGTCCTTTGCTCATTTTATGATCTGGTGACCTGTCTTTTGTTGGTAAGCTGTCAAAATTTTATACATATTTTGTTATTAGATTACTGGATATATGGTTTCCAAAGATATTCTCCCAGTCAGTAGAATATCTTCCACTTTTTTGGTAAAGTCTTTTGATGAATGAAAGTTTTTAACTTTATGAGCTCCCATTTATCTATTTTTTTCCACCGTCTGTGCTTTTGTTATTATATTAGATAATCCATTGTTAAAAACTAGGCTTGACAGCGTTGCCCTGCATTTTCTTCTAAGAATTTTATGGTTTTAGTTTTTACATTTAGGTCCTTAACCTATTTTGAATTTGTTTTTGTGTACGATATGAGGCATGGATCCTGTTTCGTTTTTCTGCATGTGGAAATCCAATTTTCCCAATACCATTTATTTAAGAGACTCTTCTGTTCCCCTCGAACACACTTAGCACCCTTGACAAAAATCAGTTGACCACAGATAATGTATGTGCGTTTATTTCTGAATTCTATTCTGAAGCACTCTTGAAACTGCAAAAAATCCAGTATCCTTGGTATGGAAGATATGGTACTCACTAAACATTCCAGGTACAGCCTTATATTTCCCAGCCTTTTGCTGCTGGGCAGGGTCACAGGACTAGTCACGGTCAAAGGACTGTTAAGAAATGATGTGTGTCGCTTCTGGCCAAAAAAATGTAAGGTCCAGTTAAGATCCTTTAGCTGTTTCTTCTGCCATGTTCCAAGTTGTGCGGCTACAAGATGGTGGCATTCCACTAAGCCCCTGAGGGAGACTGTAGATTATTTTGTTCACTAACCAGTGAACAAAATACAGCATGAAAGAAAGCTTTGTAGCAAGAAACTAAGCTTTGCTGTAATAAGCCATTACATTTGGGGGTTATCTATTACCACAGGACAGTCTACCCTTAACTAACTGTCTCAGTCATCTAGTGCTGCTATAACAGAAATACCACAAGTGGATGACTTTAACACAGAGAAGTTTATTCTCTCACAGTCCAGTAGGCTAGAAGTCTGAATATAGGGCGCTAGCTCCAGGGGAAGCCTTTCTCTCTCTGTCGGCTCTGGAGGAAGGTCCTTGTCATCAGTCTTCCCCTGGTTTGGAGGCATCTCAGCACAGGACCCTCAGGTCCAAAGGACACGCTCTGCTCCCAGTGCTGCTTTCTTGATGGTTACAAGGTCCTCTTGTCTCTCTGGTCACTTCTTTCTTTTATATCTCAAGAGACTGGCTTAAGACTATCTAATCTTGTAGATCTCATCAATGTGAGTGCCACTAATTCATCTCATTACATCATAGTGATAGGATTTACAACACACAGGGAAATCACATCAGATGACAAAATGATAGACAATCATTCAATACTGGGAATTATGACCTAGCCAAGTTGACAGGTATTTTTGGAGGACATAATTCAATCCATGACACTAATACAACTGTTGAGATGTGATAAGAAGTAAGGACAGAGGGGCAGACAAAGGCTACATGACAAACGGCCTGGAAAGATTTTAAGCATTTGTTCTCATTCTAATAACACTGTGGAAATGAACCAGAGCAAACATGACAGATGAAAAAAGTTGAGGACCTGAATCCAGTGAACAGCAATCGTTAACAACTGTATGGGGTAGGAAAAAGAAAAGGTTACAGATCAAGAGACTTAGTGGGGAGAGGTAGTGATTTGAGGAGAAAGATGACAGTTTTTTAATTTGACTGTTTTCTGTTCTTGTTTGTTTTCTGAGAAGAAACATACAGACTAAAGCACTTAAGAGAACACCAGGTATTATCTTGAAAAGCGAATACAAGACAGAGTTCAGAAGTGGTGTGGGTTGAGGTACAGATTTGAGTCACAAGGATACAGTAATACTCAGGATAATAGCACTCAAAAGTGAACAATACAAACGTAAGAAACAGGAAGAAACGAAACCCACGATGAGAGAGAAAAAACTGGTCAGGAAATTAACCAGGGCAAAACAGTTATCATGGGAGTTAAAGGAACAAAATTTCAAGGAGAGATAGGTAAGCATTAAGAGAGACTGATTCAAAATGTGAGCAGTAGTTGTCAGTTACCACTGAATCAATTCCAACTCATGGCAACCTCACGTACGTCAGAGCAGAACTGCGTTCCATAGGGTTTTCATGGCTATGATTTTTCAGAAGCAGATCGTCAAGCCTCTGCTTATCCCAGAACTGCCCTTCCTCTTCCCATCATGCAACTTGTGGGGGGTCCAGATAATTGGGTTTAGGTGTGATGAATCAATATGAGCCCTAGGACACTGACGGAGGAGCCCTCTGTGGAGGAGACTGTGTGGAAACCCCAGAAGTGCTTGTGCTCAAGCCTGGGTGGACCTTAGTGATCATCCAGTCCAGCCCAGTGTTGCACATCTGGGAACCTGGAGGTCCAGAAAGGTTGGTAATTGGCCCAGGGTCATCGGCTGGTGGAGGCAGGGGACTCTAAGATTGGAGATATTCTCACTGCACCAGTCTCTCATTTCTCTTTCTTTCTGGATGGAAACGAAGCAGTAAATCAGCCAACTGCTCTAGAGTCAATTCCAACTCATACCGCCCACGCACATCAGAGTAGAACTGTGCTTCACAGGGTTTTCAGTGGCTGATAAGCTGGAAGTAAAGTAATTTTCACTGATCCTTAGCCACTAGGCTTCCTCTCAAGCCCCAGTCCTTCTACATATGTTCAGGACACTCATAAAATCACTTAAGCAATCTGATCCCTTCATTTTCATTTTACAAATGACAAAATTATATTCAGAAGGCTAGTTTATGATCAATTATTAGCTAATCTTCTTCATTCAATTACATGGAGATTACATCAGGCATATGTACACTACCACCTCTTTCATTACTAAAGAGGGAATGTGTTTAAATGTAAATGTAAGCTAATGAAGCACATCTGTATTCCCAACAACTTTATTACTACAATCACAGACGTAACCTATAGAAGTAGTAACAAACGTTTAGGGGGTTTTTGCTTTTATTTGTTAAAGTGTCTCAATATTTTATTGTCATTTTATCCAAAATTATTTTGACTGGGGGGAGAAGTTCTTTTTCGTTCCTATACAGAACCTGTACACGGACCAAGAGGCAGTCGTTTGAACAGAACAAAACAATGGTTTAAAATCAGGAGAAGTGTGTGTAAGTGTTGTATCCTTTCACCATACTTTTTTAATCTGTGTGCTGAGCAAATAATCAGAGAACCTAAACTATATGAAGAAGAACTCAGCATCAGGATTGGAGGAAGACTCATCAACAACCTTCGATATGCAGATGACACAACTCTGCTTGCTGAAAAGTGAAAAGGACTTGAAGCACTTAATGATGAAGATCAGTACAGATTACACCTCAACATAAGAAAACATTAATTCTCACAACTGGACCAATAAGAAACATCACGATAAATGGAGAAAAGACTGAAGATGTCAAGGTTTTCATTTTACTTGGATCCACAATCAATGCCTATGGAAGCAGTAGTCAAGAAATCAAACGACATATCGTATTGGGCAAGTATGCCACAAAAGACCTTTTTAAAGTGTTAAAAATCAAAGATGTCACTTTGAGGACTAAGGTGCGCCTGACCCAAGCCATGGTGCTTTCAATCACCTCATATGCATGCGAAAGCTGGACAATGAATAAGGAAGACCAAAGAAGAACTGATGCCTTTCAATTATCGTGTTGGCGAAGAATACTGAATATACTATGGACTGCCAGAAGAATGAACAAGTCTGTCTTGGAAAAAGTACAGCCAGAATGCTACTCAGAAACAAGAATGGCAAGACTTCGTCTCACGTACTTTGGACACGTTATCAGGAGGACCAGTCCCTGGAAAAGGACATCACGCTTGGTAAAGAAAAAAGGTCAGCAAAAAAGAAGACGACCCTCAACGAGAGACACTAACACAGTGGGTACAACAACGGGCTCAAACATAGCAACAATTGTGAGGATGGCACAGGACCAGGCCGCATTTCTTTCTGTTGTACACAGAGTTCTTTTGAGTCGGAACTGACTCAACAGCACCTAACAACAACATAAAAATTACTAAAGGCACTTACCTAAACCAAAAGGACTGCTGGTGGCAGAACCAGATGTAGAGTTACTATTAGGAGCTGATGATGTGGTAACATTGCTTCCAGTGGTATTTGTTTGCTGAGCTGAATGATCCTGAGGCCTAAGGAAAATAATTAAATCACAGTGTAAACAATGGAGCTAATTATTTTTAAAAGAACTTCTGAAATCCTGATACCCAGAAATAAAGTGTAAGCTTTCAGACCAACTCAAATTACCATAAATACTCTGAGATAACTAAGCAACAGGAACACACACACACGCACACAAAATTAACCCTTACAAAACAAAAAATATACTGATTAGCCCTACTCTTTTAGTGTAATGTACATATATATTCCATTACTGTCATTTATACTGATTACGTAAGAGATGGAGATAGATGACCTCAGAAAAAAGAATCAATGACACAGTTACATTCACAAAGCTTAACTATACAAACTTCTTTTTATCTATTCCCTTCTAGTTTTTGAGAGGTGAGGAGCAGCATTATTCAGACTTTTGAAATCGTTAAAAAAATTAAAAACAAAAGAGATCCCTCACCAAAGGCTGAGAAATGAATACAATAACTGGTTAATATTTAATATTATTTTGAGTAAAAAAACACAGAGACTTTATTAGAAAACGCTTCCATCTGATATCTGCCTGTTAAGAGTTTTGGATCTCACTCATTGATTCTAAGATACTTATTTTTTCATTTTAACATCTCTGAAATCAGGATCTGTCTTACACGTGCTGACAGCCAGGCATTAATTGTGATATCTGCACACATGTGACCTTAGCTGTTGTGACTTCAAATAAGTGACTGAGTACATTGTTACACCATAAATGTGAATTTAATTACCACATAAAGGGTCTTCAGAAAGATTAAACCATTAACTGGCACTAAACAGAAGAGCAAGGAACTGGGGAATAAATTAAACATCAGTGAAGCAAATATTTCTGTTAGGGAACACTAATAAAAACTTGCAGAATGGGTTATTATCAATGGCTTGGAAGAAAGTCCTGTGGAAAACAGAGTAGCACTCTTTTACCATCAATGCTCTTGACGGTATTACAGATACTGTATGGAAAAATACTGACATTGATTACTAAGTAAAAACTCTGATGATTAAGTAAAAAGTCAGATTCTGAATGTGAAACAATTTTAAGATGGCTTTAACCCACTTATTTCACTTACATTTCCCTTTGTAGGTATGTACGAAAGTGATACGATTTAAAAAAAACTTCACACCTAAAAAAGTCTAAAAGAACTCTTTACCTCACAATATAAAATAAAAATTTTAGGTAATAAGAAAACATGTCAGTTTAATTAGCAATTTTCTTTCTTAGTGATAACACAAACAAAAAGTGCCTTTAAAAAACTGAGGGTGCCTTACATTTAATGAAATGATTACTGATTCGTAGTTTGCCAAGGACATGAATTTACCGATTTCTGTCCAAAACCTTCCCCAAAACAAAGCATATCTAAAAATGCATTCATTTCCTTATTCTGTAATTCAAATTTAGATATAATGACTAAATACTAATGAACCTTCTAAAACATTAAATGGTTGTCTGACAAACATGTAAGCATTAACATTACAGAATCACATTGGTTTTTTTAAACCATCTATTATCAAGAACATCAAAGAAACTAATTTTAATACATTTAAATATTAATAACAGGGTAAAGCAGTCATTTAAAACCAAACCTGGTTATGTTTAAAAGAGAAGCAAACGTTTATTCACAGCTTAAAGTTATGTATCTCTTAAAAACATACCTGTTTTGTGTTTTGATGACAAGGTGAACAGTAAGCCCATCATGAATTCCATGCTGACTCAAAGTATCTTGATCTTTCAAAATTTTTCCCGCAAATATCAACACAAGTTGGTCGGTATGAGATTTGAAACGTTTAGAGATTTCTTCCTTAAACTAAATAAAAAAAAAATAAAATGAATGTTATTACAGGTGTTTTCATGGCACCATCCAGTCTAGTTCCCCCAAGTACTCAGAGAGGACCCCCTACAGATATTACAACTGAAACAATATAAAGATACATGTTCCCTAGGTCTAGTATCTTGATCTTAGAGGGAAATGAGTATTATTTTACTATCTCTAACGCAAAGGTCTTATTATAGGTGCAAATATCCTATATTTGATCTTCTGCTGAGGCCTAACAATTCATTTCTTCACAATATCCTTATTATGTCAACAGTGTCAAACTTAGTTCAAGCCACAACTAACCTTTACCAGGTTTACGATAATGTATTCCTCAGACTTTTATCCCCAGTCCTGCTTTTTTATAGCTTAATATATATACAGCCAATCTCGTATTCTCAGCCTATCATACTATCATCCCCACATTTTTCACTCAATATTTATTAACAAGCACTGCTATGGAAATGTAGAGATAAAAAGCAAGTATCTTTTCCTGAAGAAGGGCAGTCCTATGAGAGTCAGTCAACTAAACCTTAGGCTTTCCAGAAGTGAAAACTAAAGAAAGATTAGGAAGTAACCAGGAACACCCAAAGAAAGGCTTTCCAAGAGAATAATATGCAAAAACAGACAAGAAAACAGATATCGTACTATAAAAAGCAGTTTACTTATTCTATAGCTAGATCAGCATTTCTCAAACCTTCTCTACAATCACTTGCACACTTAGGCTTCATATGAATATCTGAATCATGAAACGTAAAGGTGGGGGCTCAGAAATCTACATTAATAGACTGTCTGAGTAAATCATCAGTTCAAATTCAGTGAAAGAATCACATCTTCAAGCCACTCTACCCCATTACCCTACAGCAGTGATTCTGTAGTTGATGGTACTATTACCAAGGGGATGTTCTGGAAATACATGGGGACATTTCTGGTTGTCACAATAATTGGTGAGACACTTTATGTCTTGAGATTTTAAAAATCCAGCAGAGGCAAGGAAGAGAGGTGTAGAGGAGTATAGATAAAAGATAGAACATTTGTCAATCATTGTTAAAGACAGAAAATACTTGCATGAAAATTCATTACACTCTACTTTTGTTACGACTGAAATGTTCCACAATGAAGTTATAACGCTGAGTTTTGTCTTTTTTATCTTTTTTTACTTTTATGAACTCACATATACATTGCTGAGACGCTGAAAAATGCAAAAATATATAAAGATGTTAATAAAAATAACAAAAAATTCTATACTGTAGTAAATATTTTGGAGCTTCTCCATCTGTACTTTCTTTCTACTATTTGAAATCATACGACACAAAATACTTTTATCTAAAATAAGCAATTTCTCAAACCAGGCCGGCCAACATGGCATTATCGACAGAAGCACCATGCCATCCCTCCACAGCAAAGACCCGAAAAACTAAGTAAAATATAGAGGAACGTCAATCCTAAACCCTAAGCATCAAATGAAGAGATAAAGAACTCAACCAAGCACAGAATGGAATAAACTGACAGAAAAAAGAGAGTGAGGAGAGAAGTGGAGCAGAGGCCCCTCATCAGCTAACGCAGCATGGACTCACCATTGAGGACTCTTGTCAGAGACTGGCAAACAGGCACTACAGGAAAGCAGCTTCATGGAGCACCCAGCAGGAGACAGAGCACAGTAACCAGCGATACATGCTTTCCCACCCCCTAACTTTCCTACCCCTGCTTGGCGAACGCTCTGTCCCAGCAGGTCAAGTGACCGTGGTCCTGGAGGCACTGGCTCCGTGCCACTTGGATTCGCCCTACCCACACCAGCTGGCTTCTTCAGTGCCATTTCTTTGCTGCTGGTGTTGTTTTTTTGACTTCCTTTGGTGTCTTCCCTGTCTCTGGCCCCCTCCCTGTCCTTTCTCTTGAACACCTGGCTCCGTATGCCATCTTTGCTTCTTTTTGACAGACTGTGAAATGCTCAGCTGGAGACCTGCTTCTCCAGTCCACAACGCCATGCTAGTAGAATACTTGGGGCCTTTCTTTTTTTCTTCCTATTTTTCTTCCTTTCTCAGTTTCCTGTCTCTCTCTACTTACCTTCCTTTCCTGTCTTCTGAATACCGAGGATTGTGTGCAATTTCTGCCCCTTCTGGCCAGGATGTATTTTTTTTTTTTGCTTATTTTTCTTTCTTTTATTGGTTTCTCATCTCTACTTTCCTTCTTTTCTGGTTTCCTGAATACCTGGCACTGTGTGCCATCTCTACTCTTCTGGCCAGGCTGTATTTTCTTTTTTATATATTTTTCTTCCTTTTCTGTTTTTGGTTTTTCTTCATTTATCAGTTTCTCATCTCTCTCTACTTTCCCTCGTTTCTGGTCTCCTGAATACCTGGTGCTGTGTGCAGTCTCCACCCCTTCTAGATGTGCTGTGTCCCGAGTCCTGAAAGCCACTTCCCTGGTAGAAGGTGGGATCCCTGGGGACTCTTTTCTTTTTTAAAAAAAATTATTAATTTCTCTGTTTCTTTCTTCCTTTTTGTTTTTCTTCATTTCTCGATTTCTTGTCTCTCCACTTCAACAGCAGACTCCCTCAACATTTTTTCCCCTGCTCCTGTTGTTCTCCTCTCTCCTTTCCAACACCCAACTTAGCTCCAGATATCACAACCTTCCCCCTTCCTCCTGCCTATCTGCAACGTGCAATGAACATCGCAACTCTGAGCAAAACAGGCACGGCCTACCGGAACCTCCCCTGCACTAACCCCTGGTCCACCCATCTGGACCCAGTATGTGCCAAAAACAACCCATCCCACCCCTACGCTTCAGCTGGACCTGCCCTGCTGCACCACAGCTGAGTGAGTTACTCTGCCCATTGCGCAAGGAAGTGAAAAGTATCATAACCCACAGATGAGCAAACAACAAAGAACACACAACCTGCCTGCTCACATATATCCAAATAAAACAAAAAACCAGGACGAAAGAAATCTACAATCAATAAATGAAGAAAATAACTACTGAATATCCAGAAGACAGCAGACAATATCAAAACATTAAAAGAACAGCACAGGACGGTTGAAATAGGCATCCAAGATAAAACAAGAAATATATTTCCAGTAGAAGAAAAGGCAATCGAACTACCTGTTAAGAAATTCAAACCTCTAATATTCAGAGCTATCCAAAAGTTGAAGCAAAAAGCAAACAAAAATGAGGAAAAAATGACAAACTCATGGAAAATAGACACAAAACAATGGAAGAATTCAGGAAAACAATACAGTAACAAAATGCCAAAATAAATTCACAACTAGAACTCATACAAAAACAACAATCAGAAATCCAAAAGATAAACAATAAGATTTCCGTAATGGATAGTGTCATAGTAGGGCTGAGGAGCAGGTGTGAAACGATGGAAGACAGGATCAGCAAAATTGAAGACAAACACTTGGCTACAACTCTGAGAAAAAATCAGAAAAAAGAACAAAGAAAATGAAGAAGCCCTGAGAACTACGTGGGATACAACCTAAAGCAAACATCTGCGAGTGATAAGAGTTCCAGAACGGGGAGAAAACAGAAAACCTGCTGACGGAAAACTTCCTTAATATCATGAAAGATGAAACGCTGACCATCTAAGAAGCTCAACAAACCCCATACAGGATAGACCCCAGAAGAAAATCACCAAGGTGTATCATAATCACACTCGCTAAAACCAAAGACAAAGAATCCTTAGAGCAGCTCAAGGAAAACAAAAAGGCACATACAGAAGGGAAACAATAAAACTAAGCTCTGATTACGACAGAAACAATGCAGGCAAGAAGGCAATGGGCTGACATATGTAAATCCTTGAAAGAAAAAAAACTGCCAACCAAGAATAATATAACCTGCAAAACTCTCATTCAAATATGATGGTGAAATTAGGACATTTCCAGACACACAGAAATAAAGGGAATATGTAAAAATCAAATCAAAATCACAAAAATTATTAAACAGAGTTTTTCGGTTTGAGAACAACCAACATCAGACAACAGCCTGAATCTAGGATACAAGATCACACCAGCCAGATACCAGCCCAGGAAACAAACTCTCAAGGCCTATTCAAAACTCAAAAGATTTACAACAGGGAACCAGAGACGTTAATCTGTAAATGACAATGAGGTCAGAAGAACACAAGAGGAAATAAACAGTGTAGGTATAGAACTTTCTAAAGAAGAGGAGAGGAAGGCAAGGTGATACTAAATAATAAAAGATTGGTTTAAACCTAGGAAAATAACAGTAAATTTCAAGGTAACTACAAAGAAAGTTACCTACTCAAATAAAGAAAGATAAAGTCTCAGTAAAAACAAAATCTTCAAAAACAAAAGCAATGAAAAACAATCCACAAACAAAAGCAATTCAGCAAAGAAGAGTTAAGAGGAACAAAGAAAATGTCAGCACCACAAAAAAAAGCACTACAAAATGACAGCAAGAAACTCACACCTATCAATAAATGTAAATAACCTAAATAAACCCATAAAGAGAGAGTGATACAATGGATAAAAAAAACCAGGATCCATCAATATGATGTCTAAAAGAGTCACATCTTAGAAACATAAGACGTAGATTTATTAAATACCAAAGAATAAAAAAAATGTATCAAGGAAAGAGCTACCAAAACAGAGCAGGAGTGGCAATAAAAATCTCAGATAAATTGGACTGTAACATGTAATCCACCACAAAAGACAAAGAAAGCTATTATGTGTAACGATTAAGGGGACAATCCATCACGAAGACATAACCATCATAAATATCTACGTACCCAACGACAGGGCTCCAAACTACATAACACAACCTCCAAACGCACTGAAAAGAGAAAGTGATAGTTTCACAATAATAGTAGGAGACTTAAACACACCACTTTCAATAAACATCTAAAAAGAAACTCTACAAAGATACGGAAGATTTAATGGCCACAATCAGCCAACATAAACTCACAGATATATATATAGAACACCCCACCCAACAGCTGCAAAATACATTCTTTTCCAATGTACATGGAACGTTCT